ATTGGAAGAGTTTTATACTGAACGCCCATAGATCTGTCACTTAGATTCTACAATTAACATTATATTTCCTTTATTAAATACCTTTCCACGTATCCATCCCTCTGCTCATCTATCCATCCATCTTATTTTCTAGGCATTTCAAAGTAAGTCACAGACATCGCTGCCCTTCACTCTCAGACACTTCAGCGTGCAGATCATTACCGATACTCAATTCGGTTTGATATTTGTTTACAATTTTTTTTCATTTGAGCTAAAATTTTTATACAGCAAAATGCAGAAATTTGAAGTGTACCGTTCAGTGAGTTTTGACACTGAAACCCAAACCCATATCAAGATATAGAACATTGCGTCTTCCCTCGTGTCCCTTCCCAGGAAATGCCTGCACCTGCCCCCTTGCAGAGGTAACTGCTGTTCTGAATTTTGTTTTTCTCATGCCTGTGTAGGACTTCCTGTAGAGGGACGCATACAGCAGTCGCACTTTTGTGTAAGGATTCTTTCACTCAGCATAATGTTTTTACACTTGTTTTACACATGTTGTTGTCTGCATCCCTTTCATTGTATAGCTATACCACCGTTTATCCATTTTTCTACTGATAAATACATGGGGACTGTTTCTAGTTTTCAGCTATTGTGAATACAGCTGCTACACACATTCTTGCACACATCTTTTGTGTTTTGTTTTGTTCTGGTTTGGTTTTTTGTTTTAGAGAGAGAGAGAGAGCACGTGCAAGTGGAGGAGAGAGGGGCAGAGGAAGAGAGAGAATCTGAAGCAGGCTCCATGCTTGGCACAGAGCCCACCACAGGGCTCAGTCCTGTGACCCTGGGATCTTGACCTGAGCTGAAACCAAGAGTCAGATACTCAACCGACTGAGCCACCCAGACGCCCCTGCACACATCTTTTTGTAGGCACAGTTTCCATTTTTCTTGGACAAAGTGCTAGGAGTGGAGATGTGAAGTCATAGAGTAGCTGTAGGTTTCATTTTTTGAGGACCTTGCCAGATCTTCTGCCGGAATGATCATCTTATTTTACAGCCTTCCAATAAAGCATGAGAGTTCTGGTTGCTCCACAGCCCTTGCCAACATTTGTTGTCAGTCTTCCCAATTTCAGTCATATTGGTCATATAGTAGTACTTCATTTTGATTTTAGTTTTTAATTCCTAATTTCTAATGATTTTGAGCAGTTTTTCATGTGCGATTTGTGTATTTTCCTTTAGGTAGTATTTGATTAAATCTTTCAGTCACTTAAAAACATGAATTATCTTTTTTTTTAAACACAAGTGGGAAAGTTTATTAAAGCAAAAAGTGCACTCTCAAAATAGGAGACCAGCCGAGCTCAAGAGAGAGCTGCATCAGATTATCTTTTTTGAACTGTACAGCTCTTTTTTTGTTGTTGGCAGGGTTCTTTATATATTCTGGATTTTGAGCTTTCTCGAGTATGTTTTTTAAGTATTTTTTCCAAACAATACATTGTCTTATAAATGTATTTATAAGAAACAGAACTATTTAAAACTTGATGAATTTATCATTTCTTCCTTTTATGTTTTTTGCTTTCAGCGTCCTTCCCACCCCAAGTCATGAAGATATTCTTCTGTGTTTTCTTCCATATTTTTTTAAATGTTTTTTATTTATTTTTGAAAGACAGAGAGGGTATGCGCAGGGGAGAGACAGAGAGAGGGGGAGACACAGAATCCAAAGCAGGCTCCAGGCTCTGAGTTGTCAGAACAGAGCCTGATGCGGGGCTCAAACTCATGAACCATGAGATCATGACCTGAGCCAAAGTCAAACGCTCAACCAACTGAGCCACCCAGGCACCCCTCTTCCATCTTTTTGTTTTAGTTATTATGTTTAGTCAAGAATTCATCTCGGTTTTTGTGTATGGTTTGAGGTAGGGATCAGGATTCTTCTTTTTCCCCTATGAATATCCAGTTGTTTTAAGACATTAACAAAAATTCTAATGTTTTCTGATATCTAATAATTGCAGATTGCCTGCTGCAAGTCTGATTTTTATTCCCTTGAAGGTGACTTATTTCTTCCCTCTCTAAGTGCTTTTTGGATCTTCTTTTTTCCTTAGTACATCTAATATTATCCTGCCAACCTCTCAGTATCTTCTTTCGATCTGAAGATTCATAGCGATCTTAGCTTTGGTAGATTTTCTTCAGTGATTTCTATCATAACTTCTACCCTTGCATTTTCTCTGGGCTCTCTTTCTAGAACACATTTTGGTTGTATTGTGGACCTGGATTAGACCTCCAGGTCTTTTATATTTTCTCTTTATTTTTTGTCTTTCTCATTTTTCTCATGTTATATTTCTACCTTTCTAGAAATAATTAAAGTGTGGCAAGCATATTTTTAATTTCCAAGTACTTTTTCTTGTTCTCTAACTGTTCCTTTTTTATAACATCTTGTTTTTACTTTAGGTATTTATTATATCTAGAATATCTCCAAAAATATTAATTAGAGGCTTGAAAATTTATTTTTCTGTTACTTAAATTGGTTCTTGTGAGGTCAGATTTATTTTTGCTTCTTCTGTTTTTTTTTTTTTTCTTTCTTTCTTATGTAGCTGATTTCCCTCCTGTGCCCAGTGATGTGGGGGATGCTTTTTATAGTTTAAAAAAAAAACAAAATAAGCTGATTTTTTTCTAGATGTGTTTCCTCTACTATTGCATATAGGGTGGTTTTCCTGCTAGCTAATTACTCAGAAACCAGAAGAGGCTGACAGGAAGTTCTGTGTTCATGAGCAGAGCTTGCTACACAGGAAGATTTCCTGTTACAATGAAAAAATGGAGAGCCAGAGAGAGGAGGGCTTTGCTGGGCCGCTACCACTCACCCCCCTAGTATTGGTTCATCAGTATTGTATAAAAGCTATTGTCTGCTGATTGTTCTTTTCTCATTTCTCACGAGATGAGAAATTTATCTATCTATTTATTTATGTTTTTTAAAGTTTATTTACTTATTTTAAGAGAGAGAGAGAAAGAGGCAAGGAGGGAGGGGCAGAGAAAGAGAGAGAGAGAGAGAGAGAGAGAGAGAGAGAGAGAGAGAGAGAGAATCCCAAGCAGGCTCTGCACTCAGTGTAGAGCCTGATGTGGGCTCTGTCTCATGAACCCTGAAATAATGGCCTGAGCTGAAACCAAGGGCCACAACCTTAACCAACTGAGCCACCCAGGTGTCCCTGGATTTCTTCATTAAAAAAAAAAAAATATATATATATATATATACACACACACACACACACACACACACACACACACATATGTAGTTATTTTTAATTGTGTGTTGTAAGGGAGGGGAGACAAATGGATGTGCTCAGGCTGCCATTTAAAACTAAAGCTTCTGGGGCGCCTGGGTGGTGCAGTCGGTTAAGCGTCGACTTCAGCCAGGTCACGATCTCGCGGTCCGTGAGTTCGAGCCCCGCGTCAGGCTCTGGGCTGATGGCTCGGAGCCTGGAGCCTGTTTCCGATTCTGTGTCTCCCTCTCTCTCTGCCCCTCCCCCGTTCATGCTCTGTCTCTCTCTGTCCCAAAAATAAATAAACGTTGAAAAAAAAATTTTTTTTAAACTAAAGCTTCAGGGCGCCTAGGTGGCTCAGTCAGTTAAGCGACTGACTACAACTCAGGTCATGATCTCATGGTTTCTGAGTTTGAGCCCCATGTTGGGATCTGCGCTGACAGCTTGGAACCTGGGGCCTGTTGGATTCTGTGTCTCCCTCTCTCTCTGCCCCTCCCCTGTTCACGCTCTGTCTCTCTTTCCTTAAAATAAATAAACATTAAAAAAATTAAAAAAAAATAATAAAACTAAAGCTTCATTCTATCTTTCAAATTATTTATTTCCTGCTCTTTCTTTTTTTTTTAATTATTTTTTTAATGTTTATTTATTATTGAGAGACAGAGAGAGACAGAACATGAGCAGGGGAAGGGCAGACACAGAATCTGAAGCAGGCTCCAGGCACAGAGCCTGACGCGGGGCTTGAACTCACAAACCGCAAGATCATGACCTGAGCCGAAGTCAGACGCTTAACTGACTGAGCCACCCAGGTGCCCCTCCTGCTCTTTCTGAATGGCATCTTTCATTGGATTTGGGTCCACATCTTTACTTTCTCATGGCTATGCCAGACTAGCATCCACTTTCATGCCCTCGGTTATTGTGTTCCTTTTTCCAGAAACTTTCTTCTTCTCATCCCTCTTTTCTCCCACCTTAACCTAGTGAAATTCTTCCCAACTCCTGAAGCTAATTTGAACGTCCTTCCTCCATGAATCCCATCTATTTAAAGTACCTTTGATTGGCCTTCCTTTTATCTTACTGTTACTCAACTCAATGCCTCTTGTTCACAATTCAGCTCTTAATTAGACAGTGTAGTATTGGTCACTCTCATTTCAAACGTTTATTATTATGTTGGTAACTATTAAAAAGTCTTCGGGACAAGCATTTAGTTTTCTCTGTCCTTCAAAACACGCAGCACAGTATGCATTTTAATAGGTATTGATCAGCTTCCCTACTATTTGCAAGAAAGAAGATAGATAATAGCTTATATTTCTTTCTTCTGGAAACAGTAAGACATGAGTCTTTTAATTGAAAGCTGAATCGGGGATGTTCTGTTTCAGGCAAAAGAAATGCTGATTTTTCTGAACTAAGTTAATATATAACTATATTAAGTTACATAGCATAAATGTCTGCTCAAAGCCATGGCAATAGACAGGTCCACCAAAATTGAAGCAATTGAGGTCAGAGGGGTTTGGGAAAAGCAAAATAGCAAAAGGTGATTTAAAAATAGACTTTAGGGGCACCTGGGTGGCTTAGTGGGCTAAGCATCTGACTTGATTTTAGCTCAGGTCATGGTCCCAGCCTTGTGGGATCAAACCCTTCATTGGGCTCCATGCTGAGCGTCAAGGCTGTTTGGGATTCTTGCTCTCTCTCTCTCTCTCTCCCCTCCTCCTTTTGCCTCTTTCCCCTGCTTGCTCTCTCTGTCTAAAATAAAAATAATAAACAAGTTAAAAATAAATTAAAATAGATTATTTATAGATTTAAATTTCTGTAACACTGCTAACAATGTCATCTTCAATTAAAAAGGAAAGTTGTCTAGTGGTAGAAAAAGAACAAATAATAAGAAATAATGTGCTTCTGGTAGTAATTACCACTGTTCACTAAGTATGTCTGCTTCCCTACCCTTCTGGGCACATGGTAGTTTTGTCCTGCCTTGATCCAGTGAAGTTAGGGGTAGCCATGTGACTTGCTTTGGCCAAAGAAATGAGAGTGAATGTGGTGTCACTTTCAGGTGGAAACTTTAAAAGCCAGTGAGGGATTTGCCATATTCCTGATTTCTGCCTAAGTGATCATGGAAACATGTGATACCCCATAATTCTGAATTCCTGAAAGTACATAGTGAACAGTCTGTGTGCAGATCTGTGATGGAAAGAGTGTGAGTGAGAGACAGACCTTTGTTGTTTAAGCCACTGAATATAAATGATTGCTGTTCAGGCTCATCAAACCACCACCTGTGGGCCAGTTGCCTGTTTTGATAAAATTTTACTGGAACATAGGGAAGACATTTGTTTCTGTGTTGTCTGTGTCTGCGTTCATGCTACAACTGAATTGACTAATTACAACAGAGACCATATGGCCTGCCAGCTGAAAATATTTACTATCACTCTTTAAGAAAAAGCTTGTTGACCTCTGACCTAGGCTATCCTAACTATGATAGAACTGAAAGTCTTTGATAAGTGTCCTTTTATGGCTACTTCCTGTTTTGTACACAACACAAAAGATATAGTAGCTAGCTAGCTAGCTTCCAAGATGGCAGTGGTGATCCCCAACCCTGAACACAAGGCTATTCACATCTCTGTGCACTTCCTTCCCACACTGAGCAGGGCTGACTTGTGTAACCAATGTGGAAGTAATGGAGTGTGACTTCCACGTTTGGGTCATTAAAGATCGTGTGACTCCCATCTGCCTCTCTCTGAGACCACTCACTCTGGGAGAAGCCACTACCATGTTCCAAGGGCACTTGAAGCCTTAGGGAGAAGCCACATGGTGAGAAAACGAGGCCTCCTGACAACAGTTATGTGGGTCAAGCCCTCAGATGATTGCAGCCTCAGCCAAGGTGTTGACTACATGAGTGCTCTGAGCCCAAATCACCCAGGTAAGCTACTCCTGAAGACCTGACTTAGAAGAAATTATAAGATCATAAACATTTGTTTTTTTATTTTAGTTTTTTAAATGTTTATTTATTTTGAGAGAGGGAGGGGCAGAGAGAAAGAGAGAGAGAGAGAGAGAGAGAGAGAGAGAGAGAGAGAGAGAGAGAGTCCCAAGCAGGCTCCACGCTGTCAGCTCAGATCCCAATGTGGGGCTCCAACTCGAACCGTGAGATCGTGACCTGAGCCGAGATCAAGAGTCTGATGCTTAACTGACTGAGTCACCAGTCACCCCACATTTGTTGTTTTAACACTAAATTTGGGAGTAATTTGCTATTCAGAAGTAGATAATTAATGCAATATTCAAATGAAAAAATATCCTCGTACTCTGTACACTTACACATCTATGTATTTGCTTGTGGGATTTTACAGACACATGCACATTATTTTACTATTTTATTACTGGACAAAGAATTTGTGGACTTCCATAATTATAGTATACTTGTGTGAATATAGATAAGGTTATCTTACCTGTGGAAGACATTATTATACATGTATAGATCTCTCCCATTTCCTTTTTAACACTGAATCTTTGTGGAATACAGGTGAAATGTGTTCTGAGAAGGAAGGAAAAGAAACTCCTAATATTTCAGTATTTCTTGATAGGGTAACTGCTCATGTTTACCCTAAGTTCTTTGTATGCAGGATTAGGGTAGAATGAATGGAGCAAACTCCTCATAGTACTTAACTATTTTATTTCTAAGTGATGATGCAAAAGTGTCAGAAGCCAGGTTTTTCCAATTAACTACTATAACCTTTATATACACATTAAATGGAACAGTTAGTAATAACATTTGGAATTGTAAGAGTGACATACGGAATCAAGAAAGACCTTTGAAATGAAATTAAGGAATAGTCAAGAGGCAAAAGTCCATAGGAAGCAGGCTTCAAGGAAAACTGAATAAAAGTGTTCCTGATGGCATTTGCTTTTTCTTTTGCATATTGAGACCAACAGGCAAAGAAAATGGATAAAAAATTCCTTCTCAAATGGTATCAGCAGATTAGTTTGCATAGCAGTTTGTATGTATTTAACCCAAAATATAAACAAATAAATTAACCCAAAATATAAACAAATGATTTTTGGATAGTACTGGTAGGCATAAAGCCTGAGAAATAGAAAACAAAAAAGGAAAGTTAGAAAGAAAGAGAGTGGGGAATGAAAAAAGGCTAAAAAATGAAGAAAATCCATGGAGCCATGTGAGTATTCACATGCATATTCCTTGGATTCTTAACCATGTTCTAAACTTGGGGACAATGCAGGTTATCTGGCCAAATCTCATTTTCTAAGCCTATGGCTTCCCTTGGGCCTTCAGGAAATAAATAGTCCACTATCAGTCAGCAAATGAGTACTGGCTTCCACAGCTTGGGCCCCCATGAAATGAGGCCAGGACTAGAGGAGAAATTCATCAACTTACTGCTACCCCAGCGAAGACCTCAAAACATAGTTTCTTTCTCCTTTTTTACATCATGTCTGTTTAGGGGCGCCTGGGTGGCTCAGTCGGTTAACCATCTGACTTCGGCTCAGGTCATGACCTCACAGTTTGTGGGTTCAAGCCCCACGTCAGGCTCTGTGCTGACAGGTCAGAGCCTGGAGCCTCCTTCAGATTCTGTGTCTCCCTCTCTCTCTGCTCCTATCCCATTCATGCTCTGTCTCTCTCTGTGTCGCAAAAATAATTTAAAAAGTTAAAAAAAATTTTATATCACGTTTGTTTAGTGACCGTATGACTCTATTGTGGACGAAAGGGCTGTATGTGCCTTGAATAATCCCTGTTGGACTGTGAGATTTTATTATTAAATCCCTTGTTATCACACATACCTTAAATGATAAGCCTGTATGGTTGAATTTAGGAGACCAGGTTCCTGGTGCTGTTGCATATACGATCAAACTATAGAGCTAATTCTCCAGGCCTGGATTGTCTAAGCATAAACTTGTCCTGTGTAGATGTTTATTGTGCTGATTAATTTTTATATAATAAATATGACCAACAGTCAAGACCATATCTGATAAACTAAATAGCACTATGAAGGAATAAAATATTTGAGAATTCCTGAAAAATCTAGCATGCTTGCTGACCATAAATATGAGGAGAGCTGTTGAGAAAACCAGATTTTTCTAAGAGAAAAGAATGTGTGTGTAGACAATGTATATCTTAAAGGGAAATTCTTTGGTTCTTTTTAGAATAGTAAACAATTGTTAAATACTTTATTGGCTTTCTTGTTGTCATATATTTAGGCAATGTAAGCATTCACTTGAGTAATCATTTCCTAACTTGGACTGAACGTGCAGGAGTTGGCTTGGAGGAGGTTAGCCTTGGAGCCCCCTGGATTCTGTTTCTTCGGGGAGGAGGCTGGCACAGAATCTTCAAAAAGTGTCATTTTATTAAAAATGTAAACTGGGATGGCGCCTGCTTTTCAACTAAGAAAATGTTATACAATGTATCTAATGTAAATTTAACCCTCTAATGCAATTTAAACCCTCCAAGGGGAAATTAGGCAGATTAAAAAATTTCTTCTTAAATTTATTTTTAGAGAGTGAGCAGGAGAGAGGGGCAGAGGAGAGAGAGAGAATCTCAGGCTTAGTGCAGAGACCAGCGCAGGGCTCTACCTCACGACCCTGCTGAGATCACGACCTGAACTGATGCCAAGAGTCGGACCCTCAACCCATTGAGCCATCCAGGCGCCCCACTGAAGCAGATATTTTTAATCAAGGTGCCCACCATCATCATTCCACAAATCCCATTGTTTGAAGCAGCCTAACTCAAAGAAGCCAATTCTAACGTGATTGAGTGGTTTTCCCATAGTTAAAGCTAAATTTTAACTGAGTCCTAGCTGACTTTTATCTGAATTTCATCAGAACATTATGGTCATGGCATTTTAAAGATTTCTTTCCTTTGATTATCCTTCCCATTTTACAGCCCTTCCAAATTGCAGAGAAGATTGAGCTAGAAGTGTTTTCTTCCCCCAGAGCACACTGCTGATATTTCTTGGCTCATCTCACTGAGACCAGACATGGACCCCCTGCACACAGGGTCATAGGATTTGTTCAGCTGTGACCAAGAATCTCCAGTTCTATGGCATAGTAGCTGAAATGGAAAACTGCATTTTTTACCTTGACATCTCCTCCATCCTAGTTTTTCAGGATTGATGATTGGGGTAAGCGTAAAAACTTTTCAGTGGTTTCTTAGATAAGATACCAAAAGCACAAGCAACAACAAAAGAAAAAAAACATAAAGTGAACTGCATCAAACTTTAAAACGTTTGTGTTTCAAGGAACAGCACCAAGAAAGAGAAAAGACAGCTCACAGGATGGGAGAAAATATTTGCAAATCATGTATCTAATACACCTCAGTAATAAAAATGCAACCCAACTAAAAAATGGGCAAAATCTCTGAGTAGAAATTTCAACAAAGAAAATAGAAAGATGACCAAAAGCACATGAAAGGACGCTTAGCACCCTTAATCATCAGGGAATGGTAAATCAAAACCCTCGTGAAATACCCCTTCACATGCACCAGGGTAACTATGATCAGAAAGAGAGATAACGACAAGGATGTGGAGAAGGAGTCCCCAGACACTGCTGGTGGGAATGTCAAGCGGTGCCATCACTTCGGAAAATAGTCTGGCAGTTTCTCAGGTGGTTAAAGACAGAGTTAACATCTGCCCCCCAGTAATGTCACTGCCAGGTGAATTCATTTCTCACCAAAGAGAATTGGAAACACATGTCTGCACAAAAGCTTGTATACAAATGCTCATAGCAATAGTATTCATAGCCAAAGAGCAGGAAAAAACCTTAAATATCCATCAACTGGTGAGTGGATAAACAAAAGATGATTTATCTGAAGAATATGAAACACTAATTTGAAAATATCTCTGTACTCCTCTGTTCACTGCAGCATTGTTTACAGGAGCCACGATATGGAAGTAGCCCAAGTGTCCGTCCGTAGACGAGTGGATACAGAAGAGGTGGAGATACATACGATGGAATATTACTCAGCCATAAGAAAGGATGAAATCTAGCCATTGGCCACGACATGAATGGACCTTGAGGGTATTATGGTAAGTGAAGTAAGTCAGATGGAAGAGGACAAATTCTGTGTGGTTTCACTTATAGGTGGAATCTAAAAAACCAAACGAACGAACCAACAAAACGAAAACAAATTCACAGATATAGAGGATGGAGTGGTGGTTGTCAGAAGGGAAAGGGGTTGGGGGTTGGACGAAATGGGTAAAGAGCTCAGCTGTATGGTGAAGGGCAGTAACTAGACTCTCTGTAGTGTATACAAATATCGAGTTATAATGTTGTACACCTGAACCTTACATAATGCCATATACCAATTTTACATCAATAAATATGAAATACGCAGTGAACTATTATTTAGCACTAAAAAGGAACTAAGTACTGAGATATAATACAACAGAACATGAATGAACCATTACACTTAGAAGCCAGTCACAAAAGGACACATATTGTGTGATTCCATTGATATGAACCATAAGAGAAGGCAACTCTGGAGAGACAGAAGATAGATTAGTGGTTGCCTGAGACTGAGGAAGATGATAAGGGGGAGTACCTGCTAATGGGCACAGGGTTTCTTATTTGGGTGACAAAAATGTCCTAAAATTGTGATTAGACAACTCTGTGAAAATACTAAAAACCATCGAATTGCACACTTTAGGTGAATTTATGCTACGTCAATCATACTTGTAGCTGTTATTTAAAAAACTCATCTATGGAAGTGATCAAGGGTACAAATCAGGGGCAGATCAAGAAGACAGGGGCCTGTTGTCATGGGGGAGGTGGTGGCACTTGGTGGCTACCGGTGGCCAAGGAAGAGGCAGTGACACTGGACTTGGTTGGGGGCAGCGGCAGATTTGGGGCTTCCGCAGCTTCTTCCAGGGCGGACGTCCAGCACAGCTGCTGTTGAGACCCAAGATCTTCCTTCTCGTCCCTCAATTGGAGTATTGGTGTACCGGCCATCTTCAGACGCCTCTGGAAGACAGATGAGGAAACTGAGGCCTGGGAAAGTTACAAAACTTGTTCAAAGTCACACAGTTTGTAAAGGACACAGCCAAGACTAGAGTGGGTTGTCAAAATTAAAACAAACAGTCTACAGCAAAGTTTTAGGGGAAAGAAAGATGTTTGTGATCCACAAGCCAGTCGTCCACATCAGGGGCAGGCGGATGAAGAAGGGGTTTGTACTGGAAAATGCAGCTTCCTGGTTGAGTACCTTGGCCATATAGAAGTTAAGGAGACCAGAGGAAGGCACAGCTGTGAAGATGCTGTTAAAAGATTGAAAGCTGAAAGGAAGTTCTTCAAAGGCTTCTTTGGAAGGCGGTCCTGTGGGTTTCAGCAGGTGGACCCCCAGTTGTGGATGAAAATACTAAGGGGTGCCTGGGTGGCTCAGTCGGTTAAGCGATCCACTCTTGATTTCGACTCCAGTCATGATCTCATGGTTTGTGAGATCGAGCCCCGCATCAGGCTCTGTGCTGACACTGCAGAGTCTGCTTGAGATTCTCTCTCTTTCTCTCTCTCTCTCTCTCTCTCTCTCTCTCTCTCTCTCTCTCGCCCCCCCCCACACACTGTCTCTGTCTCTCTCAAAATAAATAAACTTTAAAAATTAAAAAAAAAGAAAAGAAAATACTAAGGACCTCATAGTTGACCAGACAATAGAAAAATTTACTTCCTGTGTCCCAGGTAGGAACTTGATAGAGGCTTCTCTGACATATGTCGTGATGGCACTGCTTGGCGCTGATCTGTCATTGCTCCATGGCTGTCAAGGTCATGGGTGCAAGATTGAGCATGAAGGAGAGGAAGCAGAAGCTGGAGAAGGAATGCGGGGTGACTGCTACTTTTGATGCTAGTCGGACCACTTGTACAACAGAAGGGTCATTCCGTGTCACAACAGCCACCGAGCACGCAGAATGAGAGCAATCATGAAACAGACCCAATGTGTCCAGAAAGGGCCCGAGTGGTGGGAAGCAGACAGCATCAGCTCCCTGTGCTCATGGAGCATGCCCTGCGAGGGTCCCTTCTCATCTGCCCCAGTGACCACGCCAGTGACAGCAGTAGCATCACCATCTCCTGCCTTTCAAGTGAGTGGCCCTGACTCGGCCTCCTGTGGGCTTGCGGCTCAGCCAGCCCGCACCGCCCTCGTGGCTACAGCAATGAAGCCAGCCCTGGAGCCCTGGGCCCTGATGCTGTTCACGGGGGAATTGCAGCCACGCACTCGGGGCCGGAGGCGGTCAGTCTTCAGGTGCTGCCTCTCCAGGTCTCGTCCAGGCTGCTCACAGACACACTCCCCCTGCGGCGGACTGCTGGTTAGAAGAGGGGTTCAAGAGTGGGCTCAGCTGCCCTTCCGCGGTCAGTTCTCCAGCCTCCCGCACCCACTGCCATCACCCAGCCAGCACCGCCTTTCCAAGGGAACTCATTCCTCACCTCCCAGCCTGTGCCAGTGGTCTGGTCCCACCCCTGCAGCCAGCCTTTGTCCCTGCCCAGTCCTATCCTGTGGCCAATGGGATGCCCTATCTGGCACCTCATGTGTCTGTGATGGGCATCACTCCCTCCCGATGGCAGCCAATGTGTATGACACTGTGGGCCACCCTCAGGCTGCCCACCTCCATCAGCCTCCCAGCCCGGTCAAGCCCCAGACATTCCCTTAGCAGGGGACAAGCCTACTTTCCTACAAGACTGCCAGTCTTTCATTAAGCCTCCTGCTCAGCACCCCAACGGTTCTGTAGCTTTCAGCGGTGTAGACGATGGTGGGTTGGCCTCAGGAGATGAGCACACGGAGGTTCCTGCAGGCACCTGTCCAGTGCATCCTTTCGAAACCCAGTGGGCTGCATTAGGAAGCAAGTCTGGGCAGCGTACTAACCCCTCACCCACCAACCCTTCCTCCAGTGACTTACAGAAGATGTTTGAAATTGAACTTTAAGCAGTCTGTATGGCTTATGTATGTTGTGTGTACCTAGACAAGGGCAGGGGCAGAGGTCAAAGGAGCAAAGGGAACTTTGCCTTCCCTGTCAGTTTACTTTCCACTAATCCCAAGGGTCCCAAGGAGCTTGTCCAGGCACAGGGTTCTATGAAAGGTGCTTTTGAAAAGAAAGGGGCAGGAACATTTCTAGAGAAAAGTTGTCTTGCAGTTAGGCTAAAGAAGTCAAGGAAATGTTGCCCTCTGTCCACCTCCTACTCCTGCAGTCCCTCACAGATCTCGGACAGCAGAGAGGCAGAAGTATACGGACAGGAGTCTGTATTCAAAGCACATTTACTGGAGTATAAAACAGTAGGGGAAGCAAAACCATCTCCCTTTGTTTTTCATGCCATTTGCCTGCCGCCCCTCAGTGCTGGCCTGTCTTAGAGCCCAGGAACGTGGTGGCCTGCGCTTGGGCTGGGGACAAGAGATAGGCAGGCTACGCTGCCAGGATTCCCAGGAAGTCACATCAGCAGTTGTCCAGCAGATTTTAGGTGTATCTTTAGGTATATTGTAGGTGTAAAGTTGAGCTTCCACTTTGAGTAAGAATAAACATAAATCTGTATCAAAAAAGCCAAAATCCTTATTTTCATGCATTTACATATTTTCAATAGTTGTCAATATTAAAAAGTTGTATGAATGTAAGTGATCTTGCCAAAGGTAAAAGGGTTACCTGTAAGAAGCTGTACATCTGATTGATTTATCAGTGATGCCTGTCAAAGTGGGGAGAGGGAAGGTTGGGAGTCGCAGATGAGATCTCTGGCTTATTTGGTATCATTCATGGTAAGTAGCACATTGCAGCAACACATGCGAGTGACAAATACAGTCACTAGGTGCTGGTTGTAAAGGAAAGAAAGAGCAGTGTTGTCCTGGGTTTCAACCTGGGGTGAAATTCTAATGTCGTTATTTTGTTTTGTTTTTTATTATTTTTACAAAGTTTATTTATTTTTGAGAAAGAGAGAAAGAGAAAGTGGGCAGGGGAGGGGCAGAGAGAGAATTCCAAGCAGGCTCCGTACTGTTAGTGGGGAGCCTGATGCGGGGCTTGAACCCACAAACCGGGAGATAATCACCTGAGCCCATGTCAGACGCTCCACTGACTGAGCCACCCAGGTGCCCCTAATGTCATTATTTTAATGGAATCAATCTAAATACACTTTGAATATGTATTGGCCCTGATGGACTGCTGCAGTTTCTTTATGTCAATCCTCTATGTTTGAACTCTAGGGTGACAGTGACATCATCATATCCATCCATGGGAGCACGAGTTACCGTGTTGGTTTGTCACGCGGGTCTTGGTGGGTTTTGTTTTGTCTCTTAGATTTGTGGGGGTGGAGAATCTGGTTTTATTAGCTGTGTGGGAGTCTGTCCGCTCACTTGAGGAGAGCAGAGCATCCTGTTGCCAGTTGCAGCCACTTGACCTTTGGTAACAACATGAGATCCCATCTCATTTTTACTTTTGAATGTTGGCTTTACAATCAAATGTGAGCTGTATGTATTTGTACTGATAAGGATTTATAATCTGCTGGGGCGGCTGGGTGGCTCAGTTGGTTAAGCCTCTGACTCTCGATTTCAACTCAGGTCCTGATCTCCCAGTTTGTGAGTTTGAGCGGCAAGTTGGGCTCCACATTGACAGCATGGAGCCTGCTTGGGATTCTGTCTCTGCTCGCTCTGTCTCTCAAAATAAATAAACTAAAAAAAATTATTTTAAAAAGCTTAACTTACAATCTGCTTTAACAAAAAATGTTCTTCGTAGGGAAAAAAGAAGACATGAACCAGTGTTAATTTTTTTAATATCTTTTTTTGGTAACTAAATGTCATAAACTACCCTAAATCTTCAATAGTGATGATTTACAATTATCAGTATGTGATTGTGAAAATCAATCAGGGAAGCAGTAGCAGGAATTTCATCTTTCAGTTCTGGACAAGAATTTATATGGAACGGTAGCTCACAAATAATTCTTTTGGGTCATGGGTGAAGAAAAAGGGTATTGCAGGCACTGTATTTTGATTTTCCCAAGTAAAGGGCAGTAATCCGAGGGACTTCTAAATTTCATCATACTGAGTAGAGTTCATAAAGGAGTGTAGCTTTCCTTCTGTCGAGCATTGACTTTTGCTGATTACCGACTTATAACTGCGTTATCAGCACATCAGAGCTCTGAAAAATGGGCCTCAACGCCCTTGATTCACCGGCAAACGTCCCACAGTACCCTCTTCCTATTTTCCTAAGACCGTGAACTACATAGGGCACTAGGTCTCTCAGGTCCTGGGGGATCCCAGTGGAAACTGTATTCTGAAACGGGGGACGATCCACAGGTGCAACTGTCGTTCTCCCAAGTCACAGCAGCCACGTTCCAAAGGCGTCCAACGGTGACCTTCCTCAGAGCCTGAGGA